TCTTGTTTTTTCGAATAACTCTGAGCTTCACTGTACGTAAATAAGGGCGAATGGACTACAGACTCGTGTAAGGACTTAGAGCGGCTGAAGGCAAACTCCTAACTGATCGGATACAACTTCAGCCTGGGGAGTCGGAACTTTAACTAAGGCCGTCATTATTTTGATCAATTTCAGGCCATCAACCTGAGGGAAAGTATTAACCCTACTGATATTATATAAAAAATAGCTTGACGAATGAAAATCAAATTTAGTACACAGCTGCAGCAGCAGGAGGAACGGGGATTGCTAATAATGTGGACTAATAATCACATTGCTAGCAATGTACCTCATCAGGTAGACTTCCAGGCGGTTTTCCTTGGAATTATTGTGATAAATTCCTGATGAATTTGTCTCTATGAGTTGACTGACCTGACCTCATGCTCTACTGGTGCCCTGCCACCTGCAGCGTAAATCGTTAAAAAATCACCAGGCTTGCATGGGGACTTATTGTCAGTAGAGAATATAGGGCGCATTACTGGAAATGTACCATCAGGTCGAAATGTAAGCAATCCGCTTGGAAACCATCAAAATGAAGGATGAGGCTCATCCGATGAGCTAACTGACCTGACAATATGTCCTTTCCATCATCCGTTATTGGTGTGCCGGTAGTGTACATTGTTAGTGCAGGCGGGTGCACATAGCACACATTCACTTTTAATCAACAATAAAAATTAAATAATTAATGAGTAAGTGGACACTTCTTGGAGTTTATAGGTGGTTTTTTTACGGACAATTCTAATGCTGTTGAACATCTGAACTTGTTACATAGTTAATGTTGCTAAGATATATTCAATATGTGATTAGTTTATAAAGACATTGACCTGTTATTTACTTCCTAGTATGCGCCGTAGATATAGATACGGTGTTTTTTACAATTGTCTGTTTTGGTGCAAAACAATAGTTATGTACTTGTATCCAGAGCCATTATAAATAAGTTTTGTTATTTATAATGGCTATTCTTCATTTTTTAAAAAGAGCAACTTAAAAGTTTCTTGTTCGTACTTCTTCTGATGAACAATATAAAAAAACTATATGACTTTTTAAAAGGACTTATATTTATTTCAATTGAATAAATATTATTTCTTTGTCTATCACAATATGAACCACAATCTCGATTTACCTATTACGTTTCTATTTTTTAAATTAAAAAAAAAACACAGTTGAATTCAGCTCTTGCCAGTTTTCAAATAAATCTGTATACTAAACTGGACGGTAGGGAAAAAATATTAATACAAAAAACTTGACACTTATACGCGGCTAAAATGTCCTACATTAATAAATATTTTTTTATTTTGATTTGATTTTTTTAGTGGATGATAATGAACATGTAATGCGTAGACATGAAGATAATATTTTAAGGAAGGTGTTACATATGTATGTGGAAGGTTATAAAGGCAGAGGAAGGCCGAAAAAGAGATGGATGGACTGCGTGAAAGATGATATGGTAAGAAAGGAAGTAAATAACGAGATGACTGCGAACAGGCATGAATGGAAGGGAAAAACATATTACGCCGACCCCAAATAAATGGGATAAGGAAGAAGCAGATGATGAAAGGAATGTTGCACCCGCCTGCGGTAACGGTTTAGGCTGGCGGAGTACCAGTGGAGGATGATAAGATGAACAAGAGGTCAGTACAGTTAGCCCATCGTGTCAAATTCACCAGGTATTTATCATAATGGTTTCCATGGGGAACCGCGTGGAGGTCAGCTTGACATGGTGCATTGATAGTAATGGGGAAAAAATAGTCCACAATACTAATAATCCCCTTCCCCCGATTTGATTTCATTTGATCCACTTGTGCCTAGTCACCGTCAGCGTCTGAGTATTGAGTAGCGTTATCGAGTACACCATCACTCGATTGCGGTATCAATACTCGATCTCACCTAAATACCTAAGAGTGCACCATTTCATACTCAACAAAACAAGTTGGATAGCAATATAATTACAACCACGTGATTATAGTATGATAACATTCATGTAAAAAGACAATTGTGATAAAAGCACTGAGCCCGCACACCGACTCGAGTGGCCCAGCAAGATAATGATATGAATCATTGTTGTGCAATTAGGTAGGTAACAAACCGTGGTGGTGAAATTCGCGGCAACAGATAAGTTAATGTTATATAAACACACTAATTTATTAATAGGTTATGTGAAATAGGTAAATGTATGTATGTATGTATGAATCACCTATTACATAATTAATTAGTGAGCAATGCGGAGCTGTGGCCTAATGGTTTACAGACCCTGAAAATTATGAGTTCTAATCTGGTAGTCACCAACTTTTTTTAATACCTAGCTAATAATTAAGCAGTCCACGTCTGCGGTAACGGTATACGCTGACGGGGCACCACCAGTGGAAAAAAATAGGGTGAGTAAGGTCAGTTAGCGCGCTGTGACGTATTTTTTTTTTTTTTGTGGATGATAATGGAATGGTGCATCCGCCTGCGCTAACGGTTTACGCTGGCGGGGCACCAGTGGAGGATGATAAGATGAGTATGAGGTCAGGTCAGTTAGCCCATCGTGACAAATTCACCACGAATTTATCATGATGGTAAGGTCGAGACTTAGCGCGCTGTGACGTTTTCACCAGTAATTAATGAACCACGATGTTTTTCATGAGATCCGCGTGGAAGTCGACCTGACATGGCACATTGTTATCAATGGGGCTACAGTAATGGTGACTACCATTACTATCATTAGTATAATATTTCTGACTAACTGACCGGTGATGAAAATACCTATAACAAACGTAACTAACAACTAACCCAAGAGACGGTGGTAAGTTCAATTCTTTCCATACACTTTACGATTTAAATACACTCAGTAATTACCGCCATCCATAAATATCAGTAGCACTAAAGGAATTGCAGATGTGTAGCCTTTTAGACAGGTATCTGCTCTTTTCTTGAAAGTTTCAATATACCATATACCAGATTAGATAGCAGATACCATATTTGACCAGATGCAATGAGAAACTAGGTAGCCGAAGTGTTATTTGTTTATTCTTTTTGAAAATTTCAGATACCTAATTTTTTCAAGAGTGTCTATCTTACAAGGCAATTTATTCACCATATTTGTAGATGGATTTAAGAAATCAGTTGCTTACATATGATTAAAACAAAAAGTCTTCAATATGCACAAATTCATAGTGACGACACCATTCATCTAATATTGGCAACCCCAATCCCTCCCCCCTCTTTAAGCCCGTTAAGATACCATCAACCTTCTCTGTTTTGAGAGTAGAACAAAGAATCTAATTTACATCTCATTAGAATACATTCTCATTGCAGTTGTTAGAACTCTTAGAGCAAAGTCCATGTACCAATTGCTTACTGATAGCAATTGGTACTAAACCATAAGATAATATTGCAGTAATTGAGTAATATTAATAATTAGGAGGAAAACAAATACAAAAAAATGGCTAAGCTTTATTATTTTAACTTTTATAAAATGTATATATGTACAGCAATTACAATAATAATAAAACTAATATGAGGAAACAATGAGGAAATGGTAAAACCTAATTAATAATGTACATATGTTTATTTGCATTCCTATTCATTAGTATTATTTATGATACTTTTCAAGGAAATGATGTTTACTCTATTATTTACTTTTGGCTTTAGATAGAAGTGCTATTTTCGTCCGCATGGAATAATACCTTAGAAATTACGATACTTCTTTACAACCTTCCATCTCTCCTTTCAAATCCATACAACCAGCTTTTCAGATTAAAAAGTAGTGTATGTTCTTTCTCAGTGTCTAGACTAGTTTCAGATAGCCTAGACGAGAGGCTGATTGCGGAAAATGGAGTCCAATTTAGATTTACTTTTACATTTTAGGAGCTGCAATGAAAAATGACACAAAAACGGGGAAAACATGACATATATGAAGTTGCACAGATCAGCTGGCCTGGCAACTTGTTTTAGATCAATTTATAGTATATGACAATGAAATATTAAGAACAGGGGCAAGGTACCTTATTGACTTAATTATTATTTGTCCTCTAGTATAAATTATTTAGCATATCAAACAAATTAAGGTTTCTATTTTATCTCAACCTAGACCTTACTACTGGTGTGAAGGTATATACAGATAAATAAATGTGTTTAACAGGAAGTAAATATAAACAAAGGAAGTAAATCACAACAGTCCTCCTTAGATAATACTGTTGTTGTCTATATATGTAACACTATTTTCACCAAAATGAAATACATTTCATCATCATAAATTAACAGAATTGTCAGTTTCACACTAAATACATGACAATAGGAAACTAAATGCATTTATGTCTGAGCATTCCACTTTTGTTCAATACATTTTCTTTACAATATTGAAAGGCTAACAATCAAATGCAAGAATAATGCTAATATATGCTAAATCTTAGCTTATTCATTACATTTGCCATAAGTATTATTTATATTATTCAGAAATAACTGATGATAATTATTGAAGGAAAGACTATAGTTAAATATGGTAGGTAATTTGGGAGGTGTCCTATCTGTGTGTCAAATTTAATCCTAATCTGGGTATTGGTGAGTGATTGAACAAGAAAACTTATCAACTATTTTGAAAACTTAATTCCAGTTATTTAATTTTATTGTATGATATCACAATGATATATTTTTTAAAAGATAGTCACAGATAAATAATAACAATATATTAAGTATACAGAGTTAGAACTTGTTGAAAACCAATGAACTTCTAAGAAACTTATTTTGTATTATTAACTTAGACCAAAGACCAGTATGATATCCCAGATATTACATAAGCGTAAACAATTCTAGCTGCAGCAATAATTTTATGAAAAATTGCGTAATTTTGAAAATCGAATAAATATTTTTCGATATGCAAATCATATAAACTCGTGCTATTTTGGTCTTTGACGTCATAAGTAAACAAAAATCATATACTTAAAAAAGGATCTTTTATTTATTTAGTACAAATTTCTACATACCTTGCCGTTAATACCGAGGCCAAGAACAGTGTTTGATATGTCATAGTCTTCAATAATCGGTGTGGTTTTCGGAGTTTTTGTAAAATTATTCATTTTTCCAAAGCAATGTCAACATAAGATTTAAACTGGAGAAACAAAATTACACACACTAACACTGTGTTCCAGTCACTGAAAGTTCGTTTCAAATCAATTTTATTACATAAATTTTCACAACACAAGACAATCTATGAAATATTCTATGTAACTAGTTTTATTTTATCTAAATTCGTAGTGATGACAAATTATACCATTGAGCAATCGACAATGCTGCCAACCAACACAGTATAATCTTGTCTATGTTTACACAATATCCAATCGGAGCACGCGAATGTACGGACGATCTGGATATCGTCGATGATGTTGTCAGCATTGTCAAATTATTTATGACCAAGTCCCGCGTTAATTTAAATTCTTTATTATGCATATTATTAGGCACATATTTTAGTATAATACAGCAGGCATCTTCAGGGGGTCCTTCTCATAAATATAATGAGACACGTAGCAAAAATCACGAAGAAAGTAAAAATTAAAACTATCAATAAGTACATCTATCCAAATACCATCAGACTATCAAATTAAAAATAAAATAGAAAAAAGCTGTCATACTGTTTGAGAAATTCATTGTATGTATGAATTAATTCTACCTGATTCAATTTCAAAAATTAGCCTTCTTTGTTGATTGTTTCGAAACTGAAAGGGACTAGATATGAGACGAATAACGGCGAAACGAGCTTTCGCTATTATTCGTCTCATATCTAGTAACCTTTTACTATTGACCTTTTCTCTAAGGTTAAAATCGCTTATTCTGTCTAACTATTATGTTTAGAAAGATAAACTTCTAAACATAGGTACGTAACGAATGTAAGTATACACTAAGAAGGGACTTTTATTTTTTGTATGGAATCGAGATATGAGTAACGTCACGCAGGTAAATCCTTGGGAAATAGCCTTGACTCCATTATTTATGGTGTGTCGGCAAAAAGGTCAGTGCATTTTTTTTTATTAGGTCAACTTATCTTTTACCAACTGGCTTCAAAAAAGGAGTACGTTCTCAAATCGACCATATTTTTTGTATGTAACCTCATAACTTATATGGTAGCCAATTTTGATGATTAGGTATTTTTATTAATAATGCTGGTGTTTTTCCTGTGTTTCTATATAAATTTGTTCAATTTGTGAGCAGTCATTTTTGAATTAACCATAATGATGCGGTGCAGTAAAATGTTTTGTTTTCCTAAGGTTTTGCTAGTTTTTTATATCAGGCGTTGTGATCTTGAACGTTTAGTTTACTGATAAAATTCTACTTTATCATAATTCTTATTGTAGTAGTAATTGTATTACTATTATTATATGTTTTATTGTAGATATATTACCTACTACGACGAATTGACGGGATTATGTCTAGTAAGTACCTAGAAATAAAACTTATAATTAGAAGGTAGACAGTACGGATCTGGACCACAAACGCTTTGAAGCTCGCGTTGTGACACGACTCCAGCTGTGTCACCCTCAAGATCAGGTTACTCTTCGTCCAGATGTAAATGTAAGTACCTTATATATAACTAATACTGCCTTACAACTGTGAATTCAGATACATTTATAGCACTTTACACTTACTAGTTACCCGCCTCGGCTGTACATGTATTATACGTAACATACCTATCTATTGCTAAAACTGCATTAAAATCTGTTGCGTAGTTTAAAAGATCTAAACGAACAGACGGCAGAAGTTACTTTATTTTATACTATGTTAAGATGCCGCGAATTTTTATAAAATATATTGCCTTGTAAGTATGTAAAACAGATTTCTTCGACAACATAACAAATATATTTCTCATGTAACATCCGTAACCTTTCCTGATAAGGACATAGGAAAAAACATCCCATATTTACAAATAAGGCGAGAATATATTGCCCAATGGAGTAGCCTGCCTTCTCAGTGCGAATTGAGCAAAACTTTCTACAACGTCTATGACTCATTGTGTTGGGCTTTAAAGTTATAGACAAGAGCGGATTTTCAAGCGATTTTCCAATCTATATCTTCATTCTTCAGAACACCAATATTTGAAAATATATATTATAAATAGTTGAAATTTTTTTAACACATTAGGAAAAAAATACGAGGAATCGTTTATTAGCTTTACTAATCATAATACACAATAGGATTACTACGAGTAGATATTGACTAACGTTTTTGTACGTTTTTTATTCTGCGATGGTGGCAAACAACTATATGACCCAATTGATGGTAAACGGTTACCGTAGCTTATGGATGCCTGAAATTACAGGAGTGTTACGTAAGCGTTGCCGACTATAAAACAACACAAATTTTGTGCACATTATAACTATATTATTGAACATATATGTTTAAACATAATTGTAATGACAAACAAGCCGATGTCCCTCGTAATATTAAGCGATAACTGTCACCTACGTATGTACATGTAGGTACGGACATCATGTTATAATGTGATACTCGTGATACCACTCATGTGTTGCCATTCCAGAGGACTAAGATACCATACCTTTTATTTTGTATTTCCATATTTATCCTGTAATAATATTTCAAGTTGAGTCGATATTAATTTCACTAAACATCTCGATATACCTAAATAATAGATTAAAACTAAGGGGTTTGTTAGTAATATGGACTTAAGATCTAATTAGCAATATACCTTGTAAGGTATATATTTATCACGATGGGTTAATAGACTCTTCATGCTCATCATTCTCCACTGGTGCCTCGCCAGCTGTTAGCGCAAGCGGGTGCGCCATAATATTATCATTTGGTTAAAAATATATTAAGACCATCATTGGCAATATATAACCATCTTAATATGAATTTAAGTTAAGTATTCTGATGCAACAGTTTTTTTACAAAAATTTTCTATCAATATATACAATCTTGTACTAGATTTACAGTACAGATACAATTTACATGGGTTCTACTGCTTCACACATAAACGCTATAAATGAGCATTTAGTGGCCCCACCGTGTATTCTCGGCAGACTCTTTGTCTGTTAGTTGAGTAATAAACTTTATAATGTAAACGTAGCAATTATTATAATACATATATAAATTACATTTAGAGTTGTGAGCTAAATATGTAAGTACCGTAACTGTGTTATAATAGTTAAATACAATTACATTTCGCATTAATTAATATGGAAATTTATTGGTATTCCGTAAGTTAGAAAAATTAATAATTCAAATATGTAAAGGGAAGGGCATTGTCAGTAATGTGGACTAAGAAACTCATTGCTAGCTATGTACCATGTCAGGTTCACCTCCACGCAGTTCCTCCTGGAAATCATTGCGATAAATATCTTTTGAATTTACTACTTTATCATCCTTCACTGATGCACTGCCAACTTAAACCCTTAGCCCAGGCGCATCATTCCATTATTATACATTAAAAAATACGTACCTACATTTTTATAAATTTAGTATCCCTTCCAGTTTTTGTTTATGAATAAATCTTTAATTCTCACTCTAAGAAGTGAAACCATGCTGAAGACATAGGTGTATTAAATTCTAAGGCGCACATACAATTTCATACTAGGTACATTATAAGGTATTAAAAATATATATATAAAACAAACCTATCTACCTAAATATTATTATTAACAAATCAAGAAAGACAGTACTTAAAATGTAATCGTAAGAATGAAGAAAATAAACAATACAAATTCCTGTGCAGTGTCATAGATAATTGTAGCGTGAAATATGAAATGAATTTTTTTATTGTTTTACTCATAGAAGATACATTTTCTTAAATTAGTATGTACGAATACATTAAAAGCTATTATTACTATGAGCAAGGCAGAGGTAACAATGGGCGGCCTTATCGCTAAATAGCGAACTCATTTTAGTCCTAAGCTAAGCAGAGCTTGTGTAATGGGCTGATATAAATACTTAAAATTTATTCATTAATAAATACATATATAATATATTTTTTGTGTTGCATACACCCAGACTGATACAAAGAAATCATACTTGTAAATATAAATCTTTGTATCGTGCGAGGCATCGAAGACACTATTATCGGGAGTAAAGTGGTGTGCTAGACTACAGAGTCATTGTAACAATACCTTTATATAATTACGGAACACACTTATTCATATCCGGCACGTACTTATCCATGTTTAATTTATTAACCATTTCGAGAAAGTTCGTAATAATTAGTGATGTGATTTAATGTCACCCATTATTCTTCATTTTAGTGTTGATATATGCTTAAGTACCTGCCTTCATTTGCATTTTATTGTGTACTAAGCATCTGCCCACCATTCTAATTGCGTTTTTTTATGGATGATAATGGAATAGTGCATCCGCTGCTGCAGTGCCTGCGCTAAGTTTACAGTGCCAGTTTACACTGCCGGGAACCAGTGGAAAGTGGTTGTGAAAACATAACAAATAAGCACACTTTAAAAGTTACATTTTTATATTTTTTTTATTATATATTTTTCCCTGCTATTAAATTGATTCGAATTAAAAATGCGCAACAAAAATGTTTCATTATCATTGTTAGAGAGAAGTACGTAACTTATGCTAAATACAGTATTTTACTAACTTTGTCTTAGACGCAGACGCATTTAAGAAACTGCAAGTGAACTTGTTAAATAATAGACAAGTCAACATTGCTAAATGGAGTACTCATTAAATTGCAAATACTACTAAAACTAGGTTATTTAACTATAAACAGTTGGAACCAATTTACGATTATGTGCTTAAATTGATCAAGTTAATACACTTTGGAGGTTGTATAATAAGTAAATAATAGAGTAGTTCACTTATTTTTAATAACATAAGTGTTTTCTTATATACATACTGACGAAATTTAGTTTAGTTTAAATTACATGTATTTTGAATTAAAATTAATTGTTTTTATTGTTTAATGATTAGAGATAGGTTACCTTCTTTTATATCACTGAATGACAAACAAGCTGACGGCCCACTCAATAGTAAGTGGTGGCTATACATCAACAGTATCATGGCCATAGTATTATAATGTGACACTCGTCATACCACTCATGCGTTACCATTCGTGAGGACTAAAATGTCTTGCCTTAAATCCTGTAATTTGACTACCTCCTCACAACCTCAGCGCGGCTGAAATACGTAACACTGAAGTACACACATAGACGACTTGTTATTGTATCTACTTCGGATGTATGTTGGTCACTGTTTTCTGCATTTAGTCGCATATTTTTTATAGCCTAGGGGACAAACTAGCTTGCAGCTCACCTGAAGGTACACTTAC